GTCTCTTCAACAAATGGTGTGGGAATAAGTGGATCTCCACATGCAAGACAACGCCATTTCACACTTCACACCATACACAAATATTTACACAAATGGATCAATGACCTAAATAATATATATCCACTGCCAAAAACAAGGTCCTGAAGCTTTATTCTTACGTGTTCTAAGAGTTTTATGGTTCTAATTATTAAAGTTCTTAATTTTCAGAAATGATTGGTGGGTACAGAGTTATCTGCATTTCTCTGTGCTGGATGGAGTCCTGGTGTGGTGCTGCAGGATAATGTGCTGGACCACAAGGTCAGTTTGCAAACTGCAAGGTTGGTGGTTCAAACCCACCAGCTGCTCCTCGAAAACCCTATTCAGGGTTGCTATGTTTCACTGTACTGGGCATACGGTCACTATGAGTCAGTACTGACTCGATGGCACCTAACAACAACAAGTCGGAATCGACTTGACAGCACTTAACAACAATATACTGGATTTGTTTTTCTGTCTTCTGTCTGGAGTCTTAATAATCACTCTCGTTAAATTTTTTTAAATCTACTCAAAAACAAACCAAAAAAGCTCCCCCACCTCAAAGCCAAACAAAAAAGACTTCCACAATTGTTACCTTGCTTTGTATGGAAATTTTAATACTTGTTCAATTCTTCCCCTTTGTAAATTATGTGTTCTTGCCTGGAACCTTTAATAACTGATCTCTTTTTATCTCTGAAGTCTAATAATTTTACTTGGATATGTCCCAGAGTTGAACTGCATTAACGTTTCTAGGTATATGGCAGGGCCTTACAATGTGTGTAGAGCCAGTTTTTAATTTCTGGATTTTTTTTCTTAGATTTTTAAATATTAATTCTGTTCCATTGCTTTGTTGTTATTAAGGGGCTTTGATATTATAAACAGTACCCATTCTTTGTCTGTCTTCTATTTCTATTTCTTTCTCTGACTTAGTTTCTTTCTATATGTCATTTTCATTATCTTGGATGTTTTCAAGGCCTTCTTCAATTTTCATTTGAGTCTATTTTTTCTTGGGTACCTTGTAATGTGGAGTCCTGGTGTGGCGCCGTGGGTTAATGTGCTGGACTGCAAAGTCAGTTTACACTCCAAGTTCAGCGGTTAGAGCTCACCAGCCACTCCTCGGAAACCCTTGTTGTTGTTGTTATGTGCTATGGAGTCGGTTCTAACTTGTAGCGACCCTATAAAGGGTTTCCGAGGCTATAAATCTTTAAGGGAGCAGAAAGCCTAATCTTTCTCCCGTGGAACAGCTGGTAGTTTCGAACTGCTGACCTTTCGGTTCACAGGCCAATTCATAACCACTATGCTACCAGAGCTCAGGGTCATTATGGGTCAGAACCGACTCAACAACACTTAACAACAAACCTTGTAATTTGGAGTCCTGGTGTGGTGCTGTAGGATAAGCACTAGACCACAAGGTTGGTTTGAAACACACGGTCGGCAGTTGAAACCCACCAGTGGTCCTCGGAAACCCTCTACAGGGTTGCTATGAGTCGGAACCAACACAACAGCACTGAACAACAACTATCTTGTAAATTATTCACTTATGAGATAATTTTGGCTTTCTTTTCCATTTTACCCTGATTTCCAACCATTATTTTTTTTTCCTAATTACTCCTAATAATATATATCCACTGCCAAAAACAAGGTCCTGAAGCTTTATTCTTATGTGTTCTAAGAGTTTTATGGTTCTAATTATTAAAGTTCTTAATTTTCAGAAATGATTGGTGGGTACAGAGTTATCTGCATTTTGAAATCATTTACACTTACTTCCAAATTTTCTGATTCAAGGTGGTTTTTAATATCCTCAAATATTTGAATATATTCAATTCTATCTGAAATATAGACAGCTTTCTTCTGTTTCCTGGTTATTCTCCAGATGAGGAAGCATCCTCAGTTGATTTGTGCAGTTGTTTCTGGATTTTATTTCCTCTTACTTGTTTTTATCATCTGGAGGGTTGGGTGACAGTAAAGTCCCAATATATTAGAGTGTTTTTAAAATGTTATTGTTTGTTCTAGTGGTAGTAGAGGAGCCGTGATTTCTTCAATCTTGTGTATCTTTTTCTCTCTAAAGTTTCTGCCCTTTCCCCTTAACTATCTTTTAAATGGTACATCCTGCATCAGCAGAGCAGTGCTTCCTTGCCACAGAAGTGAGGGTGTGGGGAGAATAAGCTCAATGAAACTGCAGGCTGGTTCTGTATAGATCTACAGCCTTGGAAACACTTTCCTAAGGGCACTTCTACAGTACCCTATACAGTTGCTATGAATCAGAACTGACTCAGTGGCAGTGGGTTTGGATGACAGAGCGTATGGAACTTTCAAGCCTAACCAGGAAGACAGAAAATTAAACATATACTTAATATGGTCTCCATGAGCTAGAGCAGACCCAACGGCACCAAACACCACCAAATGAACAGAGCACAGTGAGGATTTCAATCGAGAGGTTTGTTAGCTGCAGTTGAGTCAACAGGCTCTTGGCAACCCCATGTGTACAGAGAACTGCGTGACAGGGTTTTCAAGGCTGTGACTTTCAGAAAAAGCAGATCTCCAGGGCTGTCTTCTGAGGCATGTCTGGGTGGCCTTAAACCACCAACCTTCTGACAGTTATTAAGTGCTGTCATGTTAGTTCTGACTCACAGAGACCCTGTATAGGGTTTCTGAGGAGCAGCTGGTGGGTTTGAACTGCCAACATTGTGGTTCACAGTCCAGTGTTGATCCTACAGCACCACACCAGGATTAGTTGAGTGCTTAACTGTTAAGGCCACCCAGGAGTTCAACAGGGAAGTATGGGGCACTGTATGAGCATACAAAAGGTCCTAAATGGAGTCTTTGATGCTTAGACTCAGGCTTGAAAGATGAGAAATCAGCAAGGCCCAGGGGATAAGGCAGAGAGGGTTACAACAGGCAGATCTGGAGTGAGAGCCAATTTCAGGACGGAAAAGTACTGCAGTATGGCAGCTTGTTGTTGTTGTTAGGTGCAGTGGAGTCGGTTCTGACTCATAGCAACCCTGTGCAGGGTTGCCGAGGCTGTAAATCTTTACGGGAGCAGAAACCCTCATCTTTCTTCCATGGAACAGCTGGTAGATTCAAACTGCTGACCTTCCGGTTCACAGCCCAATTCGTAACCCCTATGCTGGCCGGAGCCCTGTGGAAATACAGCTGGGAAGGCCAGCAGGGTCCACACCAGAGAGGCCCCTGATGGACTCAGGACTTTAGCCAAGGGCCAGCAGCAATTATTTTAGAAAAATTCCAAAGACAGAGTGCCAACGGAGCAAAGGAGTACAGCAGATTTAGGCAACACACCGATGACAGAGCTTGGGGTGCTCAGGGCTTCTACCTCCTGCTGAGAAGTTGTGTTTCCACTCCAGATATACTGAATCATAATCCAGAATCTACATTTTAACAAGATCTCCAGGTAATTCTTATATATACCTAGGGACCTAGCACACTGGCCTGAGGAACTTGTCAAGCTATGTTGTTGCAAAGTGCCGATAAGTTGGTTCCAACTCATAGCAACCCTATATAGGGGTTCCAAGGAGCGGCTGGTGAGTTTGAACCAACAAACTTGTGGTTCAAACGGACCTTCCGGTCCAGTGCTTTAACCCACAGCATCTCACCATGACTCTCTGTTAAAGTATAAATTGGGATAAAATATAGAGGGGTTGTTGTTAGTCCCATCAAGTCAGTTTTGAGTCATAGCGACCCTGTACATGGTTTTTGAGGAGCGGCTGGTAAGCCTGAACCGCCAACCTTGTGATTCAAACAGACTTTGCCGTGCAGCGCATTAATCCACAGCACCACACCAGGACTCCTGTGTAGGGGTTGTTGTTGTTGTTGTTGTTAAGTGCCAGTGAGTCGGTTTCAATTCACAGCAACCCTGGGTTTCCGAGGAGCGGCTTGTAGGTTTGAACTGCCGACCTTGAGGACCAGAGCATTATCCAGAAGCGCCATATAGGGTTGTTGTTGTTAAGTGCCAGTGAGTAGGTACTGACTCATAGTAACCTTATGCACAGCAGAAATGCAAATTCTCAGCAGGGAGTCAAACTGGAATTACGCACTCTGAAGCTGTGTTCTCAGTGATCCTCCAAGAACTTCAGAAATTCAGAGGAGGTCAAGGCAGTATTTAAGTGCATGGATTCCCTAAGGGAGAGAGGTGGACTGAGATAGTCTGGAAAAGGAAATTTAGGTTCTTAAAAAATAGGTATGTTTCATATGGGTAGGGCGCCCTGGTGGCACAATCGTTCAGCACTTGGCTGTTAACTGAAAGATCAGTGGTATGACCCTTGCAGCCCCTCCATGGGAGGTTTGTTTCCATAAAGATGGCAAGGCTTGGAAACCCTATGGGGCAGTTCTCCAGTGTCACGTAAGGTCACAGAGTCGGAATCGACTCCAGGGCAGTGGGTTCAGAGGAAGAGGGCTGTGTGCCCACTGAGTCATTTGAAAACATGGTTGCAAAGCAATCTGACAGATGGAGACTCTATGTGGACGGGTCTGAATGTCTGGCTGTAGAATTTGAAATGAGGTACAGCCATCGACAACTTCTGAGCAAATGAGCATACTCAGTGATAGCTGAGGCTACATGGGAAGGGGGAAGATCAGACTTAGGTAAGACAGGCACCTTTCCAGTGCTCTGGGTGTGGCTCGTGTAAACTATGTTAGCTATGGGGGACAGGGAGAACAGATTTGGCAGGTTTTATAAAAGAAACCAAGGTAGAGTTGAAGTGAATGAGTGAGTATATGAAGGGGACAAACAATACAGTAGGATCAGGTGTGGCAGAACATTAGCTGGAAATTATAATTTCACTGTTAACCACAATTTTCTAGTAGAGGCAGACACAGTTAAAGCAAATGGGGCCAGGCTATAATAGTTGTTGAATGCACAGAGTGGGTATTTGAACTATTATAATACCATTCTTTCAACTTTTCATAATACAACGTTGAAAACAATTTAAAAAATAAATTGTACATGAGAGAAGCAAACTTCTCCATACCTCAACGTCTCCAGGTCAGCGTCCTCTGGGATGACTTCTGGATCCCCGCCTTCCTCAAGGCACTGCAGTTTATCAAGGCTTGAAAATCAAAACGGAAAAAGAATCACTTCAAGGCCGGCCATGCATCTTGTTCACAGCTGCTAGGGTTGGGTCCTAAAAACATCAACGCCCAATTATGAAGCCAGATACAATCCAGCAGGCGGCTCAGTGGAGAGGGAATGGGATAACATGGCCGATTGACGGCGGTCCATACAGTTATACCCGAAGAGGGACCGTTAAGTTATTTTCACGTTTGCGCTCCCAGATATGGCACCTTTTGGGAAAATTGTGTACTATTACTAGTATGCCCGGGAAAGCCTCAAAAGAGACAACAGTTCATCAAGCTATGAACACCCCTCTGATCTAAGTCTCCTATTGTTAAAGTATCTGTCAACGGCAGACACATCTCGTAGAGCCCTGCTCGTTGTTACGAATATGCAACTTAAAAATGCGCCAACAGAAAAATTCATCTCTTCTTCCTCCCAACTCGCAGAAAAGTGCTCACTGCGCTCAAGGGACTTCTTCCGATGTGCCCAACGGAGGAAAGGTCTGGCGGGTGGACGCCTTTGAGCGGATGGTCCTCCCAGCCCCGGGTCTAGGCTACGGGCCCTCCGGGACTAAGTCCCAAGGAAGCCCAGGAGCACAGCTGTCCGTCCCCCACTTGGCCCGGCACTCACCCGCACACTGTCCTTAGCTCGGCAGCCGCCTCCAGGCTGCAGCCCAGATCCCGAGTCACCGCGGCATCCTCCCGGGCGGAGTCGGCGCCCCCTCGGAGGCCGGGCAACGCGGGCGACGGAGGCTCCTTCAACGACAAGTCGTCTGCCCCGCGCAGTCGGCCCCGCCACAGCTCCCCGAAGGCACCCACATGGAAGGAGCGAGTGTTTAGCTCCGGAAGCTCATACTCCGGAAAGGAAACCGGCTCCTGCCTGCCTGCCGTCCCACTACACGCAGGGCCGTCCCGGATGCTTTCAGCCATGTTCACTCCGCTGCCTTCCTTGCAAAAGCTTTGCGATGGGAACTCGCGGAGCGTGATGGGACTTGTAGTTGCGCGGGGCCCCTGGGAGACGAGGGCGGAGCGGCGCGGACTGAGCGTCAGAGACTACATTTCCCGGCACAACCCGGTCGGGCCGGTCCCAGGGCGGGGTTCCGCGGCTCAGTGCGCCAGGCAGAACGCATTGTTCTAGACGCCGGGCGGTGCTGCGCCGGATGCAGCTATTCCATCTTCAGCTTCAGGCTCTCGGGGTTCTCGAGATTACGTGTAACGCCCTTTGTCCCGCAGGGCATCGTCTCCTTTCAATCAGTTCGTTGCTTTCCTCATCGTAGAGGTGTGACCCTGTGTCCCAGAGACTGAGAGACATGGAGGACAAGGGTCGAGTCTAGAAACACGACCAAACCTTCTATCCGGTTCCTTCAGAACCTGCCCCAAAGCTCCAAACCTGTGTGTACGTGCATATATTGTTGTTAAGTGCTGTCGAGTCGGTTTCGACTCATAGCGACGCTGTAAAAGGTTTCCTAGGAGTGTCTGGTGAGTTTGAACTGCTGACCTCGCAGTTAGCAGTCTAATTCTTATCCTGCAGCAATGCCCTTACAATAGTGTTTACTAAGCGTCCAGTAAGTATCAGCAACTACATTGTTACGTGCTGTCCGTCGGTTCTGACTCTTAGTAACCCTACACACAACAGAAGGAAACACCGACTAGTTCTGTGCCATCCTCACAATTGTCGTGTCTGAGCCCAGCATTACTGCCACTATGTTAGTAACCCTAGTGTATCCCATGGTGTGATGCAGAGTAAAGTTTCAGCAGGCGCTACCTTCCAGACTAGGAGGAAAGGTCTGGCTCTGTACTTCAGAAAGCCAGACAATGGAAGCCTGTGGATCACAAGCCATCACGGGACGGTATAGGACCAAGCAGCATTCTTTCATGGTGCATGGGTTCACTATGACTGATCTGCAGCTAACAGGCACAACAACCCTTTCAGGGAGGGATTGTAATTCCCAACTTGTTAAAAGCAAAAGTGTTCTTGTCAGGTGCTATTCTGACCCTTCTAGAGCAACCCTACATATAACAGAGCAAAACATTGCTTTGCCCTGGGTCCTTCTGACAATTGTTGCTGTTTGGACCCATTGTTATAGCCACTTTGCCTACTTCCTTCCTTGAGGATCTTCTTTTTCACTGCTACTCTTGACCCTCTACTTTGTCAAGCATGATGTCCTCCTTCTCCAGAGACTGTTTTTTTCTGATAGCATGTCCAAAGTGCATGAGCAATCTAGTTGTATGTCTTCCAAGACAGATTTGTTTGTTCTGGCAGTTCATGGGATAGTCAACGTTCTTCAGCAACAACATAATTCAAATGCATCAATTCTTCTTCATTATTTCTTAAAATAGAAAAAGAATTATAACGCACTCAGACTTGACCTATACTTATGGATATAGTAGCTCAAAAGAGGGAACAAATCTTTACAGTGAGGATCATTCCCCACCCACTTGGCACACGGGGTTGACAGGGATGGGCAACTTAGATACTGGCTACCCAAAATGGGGGTGCTACAAAGGCAATAAGTGACTGGCTTACAAACTTTCAAGAGGGAGCCTAGTTTCAGAGGGTGAGGGGGAAGGTAGAATCTCCGCTGAGTGGTTTCCAATCCATTGGGACAGGGCTGATGAAAGGAGATGGGGATAAGACTCTTGTGGTTCAATAGTGAATAATTGCTATCAGGACTGACTATGAGTGTTTCAAATGTAAAGGTAGACGTTTTGTCACAAAAGGAGGGGAGTGATTGACTTTGCTGTCCAGGAGTGGCGGTCCCTGGGACCATCAAGGGAGAAGAACAGAGTGTGGGACCTTATTAAGAGAAGCAGTGACGCCAGAGATGGAGGCAGAGATAATGATGTGGAGAGAAGGAGTGACTGGGGACTCTGGGCTCTGGGAGGGACAGGGTCTGTGTGCTGATGGCTGGGGGGCAGGCTTGTGGGGTATACCCTTTGGTTGTTCGATGACGCATAGAGGGGATTGTAATCATTGCAATGAAACCAAATACAATAGGATGAATGTAAAGCTAATGTTCCCCCATGTAAACTGTCGCATAATTCACAATAAAAATTTAAAAAACAAAACAGAAAACCTCAATCAGTCTAGTTTCAGATGGAACATTGTCCATCTCTGAGGCCCCTAAAGGATGTAGCTGGACATCCAATCCTACTTCTGCTATGCCAGAAATACTACAAGGGGATGGCTTTAACAGACAGAAATTTATTTTCTCTCATTTTGGGAGGCTAACATTCCAAATTCTAAGCTCTGAGGGAAGGTCCTAGTCTCCTTTCACTATCTATGGGTGTGGCATCCTTTGGAGCTCACCATCTTCCCCTGGGTCTAGGAGGTTCTGTTTAGGGAACCTGGGTCTAAAGTACACACTCCACTCCTGATTCTTCTTTGTTGGTGGTACTAAGGTACCACCTCAGCTTGCTTTCCTTTCCTTTTATCTTTTGTAAGTAAAATAAAAGAGTCCTAGTGTGGCGCTGTCTCTGGTAGCGTAACGTAGTGGTTACGAATCGCGCTGTGAACTGAAAGGTCGGCAGTTCGAAACTACCAGCTGTTCCGCGGGAGAAAGATGAGGTGTACTGCTCCCTTAAAGATTTACAGCTTTGGAAACCCTGTACAGGGTCTCTATGAGTCAGAACTGACTCCACAGCATATAACAACAACAACAAGTGTGGCGCTGTGGGTTAATGCGCTAGACTGCAAAGTCAATTTGAACTGCAAGGTTGGTGGTTCAAGCTCACCAGTCACTCCTTGGAAACCCTCTAGAGGGTTGCTATGGGTCGGTACCTGCTCGACGGCATTTAACAACAAAAGTAACATAAAAGGCGATGCTGGGAAACTGTATCAGATCAGAGTTGTACTTGAGTAAAAGTATTATATTCCACCCTAATCCCCTTACAACTGCTTGATTGATTACACAGGATCTCAACCCTGGGGATAAAAGCCCATCATGACACAGCTATCAAACCACTGAGAATCATGGTCTAGCCAAGTTGACACATATTTTGGGGGGTTATAATTGACCCAATGACCGAGCCCTAGTATTCCGCCCCCCCATTTGTAACAGCTTTATTAAGAAGGCCTGATAATGCAGTAGTTAAGTGTGTGGTTACTATTTGAAAGGTTGATGGTTCGAATCTGTAAGCTGCTCCTTAGGAAAAGATGTGGCAGTTTGCTTCCATAAAAATTACAGTCTTGGAAACCCTGTGGGGGCAATTCTGCTCTGTCCTACAGGATCAAGACAAGCTGGAATCAACCTGATGGCAGTAGATTTGCTTAACAGCTTCACTGAGATATCATTTGTATCCTTATAAAACTAACCAATTTAAAGTGTACAATTCAATGATTTTTTAAGTATATTCACAGAATTGTGCAATCATCAACACAATTAATCTTAGAACATTTTAATCAGCTGAAAAAGCAAACCTATATCCTTTGGCTATTACTCCCACAACACTCCCCATATCCTCCCCCAGTCCTAGACAACTACTAATTTTCTTTCCATCTTTATAGATTTACCTATTCTCAAGTTTTATCATGATGTTTATTAACATTTATAGAGGAATATCTATTAAAATCCTGAACCCAATTTTTAATGGTCTTTTTCTAGATACTCCAGTATTTATCAGTGGGACCCATCTGTTGGTTTTGTCTGCCTAGTACTCTGTTTCTTAAAACTGACTTTTTTCATTACTCCTTGTGGTCGATTTGGGGTTGCTAGTCTTAGAAGCCGCCTGACTCAGATCACATGACAGAGTTGCTGTGATGCTGGAAGCTATGCCACTGGTATTTTAAATACCATCAGGGTCGCTTATGGTGGATAGATTTTAGTGAATGGTCCAGGGATGGGCAACTGACTCAACTAAAACCAATCAAAATCCTTTTCTGAAATGTTACCTTCTCTGGTATGGGCTGAGGCTCCTCCTGTTCTGATGACTAAAGGATATGCCCCAGCCTGTGTCATTGGAAAGAATTGTTGTTGTTGTTAAGGTGCCAACTCATAGTGACCCTGTGTAGGGTTTCCGAGGAGCAGCTTGAACAGCCAACCTTGCGTTTCAAACCAACTTTGCATTCCAGCACATTAGCCCTCAGCAGCACACCAGGACTCCTGTAGAAGGATTACAGCCACAGATTTAAATAAGCACAGGCACAAGATGGAGAAAGAAGTCAAGTGACGGTGAAGCTAGTGGTGGGGGTCATATTCTCCTCCAGACTTCCCCTGTTGATTTCCGGAAACAAGTTTGTTTTGAATTCTCTTGCCATCTAAACAATAAGAGCCTTCCTGAGGCCTTTCGGCCTTGGTCCATATCCCTCGACAGGGGGAGCTCTCATTCCAGAAAATGAGGTTACCCTTCCTGTGGGAAAGCAACTCTGTTGACCTCTTTGAAGATTGAACACACTGGCTTCAGGGCTGGAGTCCATAAAGGTTCCTAAGAACCAGAGAGAAGGAAGGGGTAGAATCCGAATGGGTATAGCAGGGGAGGGTGGTTCATTGTCACTGGGAGGTGTGGTAGCAACATCTGCTTGGGAAGTGCAGCTGTACAGACCAGTGAAAAAGAAGGACCCGATTGCGCATCTACAGCAATCACAGTTAAAGCAGCAGACTCAGTACGGTTTTATTAGCAGCAAGCACTCCTTGGGGTGGAGTCCTGGTGTGGCGCTGTGGGTTAATGCACCACACTGTAAAACCGTTTGGAGGACAAGGTCTGCGGTTCAAGCTCACACCAGCTGCTCCTCGGAAACCCTGTACAGGTCGCTATGGGTCGGAATCGACTCAACGGCACTTAACAATAACTTCTTGGGGTGGAGCCATAGCTCAGGCAGTTTCTGACCTTATGGAAAATTTGGTTCAAGATGGATGGGCATTGTTGTTGTTATTGTTAAGTGCCATCGAGTCGATTCCGACCCATAGTGATCCTGCATAGGGTTTCCGAGG